ACCCCTAAGGACACATGGAAATCAAGGCAGACCACAATTCACAATGATGAATGATTCCCTGGAGAGCTGCTGGTTGGGTGGGGAACCTATGGCTTCCGTCTGGAAGCCCAAACCAAGGGTGTCAGACTGGGAGAGCTTCCCAAGGAGCCCATGGTAGGAGCCACAGCACTCGGCTCCCACGCTGGAGTAACTTGGCTCAACTGGCAGTAAATATGATGTAACCACACAGACAGATGTGGCCAGCACGGACAGCTGAGCTCACGTGGTCTGTAGCCCAAAGAATTCCGATGGAATGACAAAAATCAGTGAGGAAAGAAACCAGACCGTTCCCAGATGTGGTACCTGCTGCCTCAGAGCATCGCAGGAGGGGGGACAGCAGTGGCTGGAGCAGGTGCCTCTCCGCCAGCTGTGGGTGCTCCCTGGCCATGGTGAGCACCGTGGTGGTGGCTACACGCTGGAACTGCCATGCTGCCACTCTGTCCTGGATGTGCAGCAAGTCCAGAATCTGCAAGGAAAGTCCATGACAAAGGAACAAGGATCAGCACGCCCTCAGAGGGGGCAGCCTGGCTCCTGGCAGCAAACAAGGACCTGTCCATGTGCTCCTTTGCTGGTCATCTGGCATGACATTCCAAGTATGGAAGAGCCAGTGTCCTTTCCACACACACAGAATGCTTTTCTGGGCTCAAACCAAGAGCCTGCATCACTTCCAGAGCCAAAGGTTGGAAACAAGAGCTCCACACAGAGCTCTGTGTAGTACAGTGTCAAGCGGCTCGTAAAATCAACATCATCCAGCATTTCAATAAAACATGGAAAATTCAAGAGTGGAAACATGTCCCATTGCCAGAAAAACATCTCCACGTAATGCTGGCTCAAACCAGGCCACGCTCGAGCAGAAAGGGCAGTCCCAACACCCTCCAAGCTGGAGTTGGCTCTGCATTCCCAGGCGGAAGGGACGAGGGACTTACCTGGGGGCACACCTGTCTGTAGTAGTCCTCAAGGGAGAGGCACTGCTGTGGGCAGGAAGCCAGGATCTTTGCAACTGCATCACATTTCCTCCAGTCTAGAGCTGCTGCTTCAGCGCCAGCACCACCTGCAGCAGCAGAAACCCAGGATCAGCTCTGACCGGTGGCCAGCTCTGGCTGAAGCCAGGTGTTCCTGGCCAAAAATTGGATTTTGAGCTTTTATTGCTGTCATTAAACCAACCATCTTTCAGGAGACACCTGAACTTAAAGACAGAAGGGGGAAAATTGCTGTGCAAGAGCTTTGATAATGGAAAACAACTCCTACGGACAGGTGGACAAAAGGTGGAGGGAGGTCATGCTTGGAAGTGCCATCAGGTTGGTGTTGGCTAGAGGAGGCTTTGGCACTAATATCTGTGGGATTCAGTTTTTGGATAGCAACAGTTTCCCTCCCTGCCAGGACACGGAAAGCAGGGGATGGGTCTCATTGTCCCTGCAGCTCTCACAGCCCAGAGTCCAGCATGGCTCCCACTGCACTGGCACTGGGACAGGGCACTCCTTGGGGCAGACCACACTCTGGACACACATGAGGCGTGACCCCACGGAGGCATAAACAGCTAAATGGTGTTGGAGGTTTTCAGTGCAGGCCTCAAAAATGACAGTGTACCCTAAATTAGGGCAGTCTGGGAGTTCACCACAGTCAGAGGCAAAATCTGTGTGTCACCGAGTCATCTTGGCCTGGCAAAAGCTGATTGCCATGTCTGTACTCTGGTGGCTCTGCCCTGCTGGGCCTCTTGTGGGATGAACCATTCCAGACACCTCTGAATCAGTGATCCTGGAGGCCCAGAGCCCTCACTCACCTCCTGTGCCCTCCAAGACACCCCGAACGACGGCCTGCACCCCGTTGGGCCTGAGCAGCCTCTCAGAGAGCAGGCGCCCACAGAGCCGCCGCAGCCAGGCTGGAGCTGGCCCCAGGCCTGCCCGGGGACATGGAGCACTCTGGAAAGGAACACAGGAGCAGGGTAAGGACTATATTTGCACACTCTTGTGCAAATCCCATGGATGAGCAAACAGCCTGTGTCCTGCCAGAGAGCACAGGACATGGACTGGCTTTGAACTGTTGCTTCAGCCAGTAGCACAAAGCAAATCAGGAATTAATGACAGGCCAGCTGGAAGGGACCTACAAGTACCATCAAACCAACATGCCTTAACTTTTGGTCAGTCCTCAAGTGCTCAGCATGTTATTCCATCCCTGCCAGTGTTCAAGGCCAGGTGGGATGGGGCTTGGAGCAACCTGGTCTAGGGGAAGGTGTCTAGTTGGAATGGGATAAGCTTTAAGGTCCCTTCCAACCCAAACCATTCCAGGATTCTATTATTATCCCTTAGAGACTTTCCAAAAACAACTCTCAGGAGATTTCCCATCTCGTCCTCCCCACAAGGCTTTGGAATGGCCCCAAACAGCAGCAACTGCCCTGTGGCACCCCATGAGTGGGAAGGGGCAGGTTCTGGAGGAGCAGGAGCTCCACTTGGCCGGGTACGGTGGATATGGGTGCAAAGCCAAGGTGGCACGCGCTGTGATGACAGTCCCTGGGTTCACACCCATCTACGCACCCCTGCATGGCAGGGCTGGAACGACACACCTGGCAGCTTCATCAGTGCTCCAGGACTGGTTTCTAAAGTGTAAGAACATTTCCAGGAGAGCAGCACCCTCGGACTGTGGGAACACAGGTACTACACACCCTGATGGCCCTCAACCGCTGGGTACCTGCTTGGGCAGACCTTGCAGGACGAGCAGCTCCTGCACTGCCAGCGGCTGGTAAACACGGTCCAGGATGTCCTGCAGGGCTTCCCGGCACCGCGCCCGCTCCGCTTCCGAAACACCCTGCAACAAAACACTCCGGAGTGGTGAGGGCAGCCTGGCTGGGCAGTAAACCCACCGTTTGATCTGGTGCCCTCTAGCCCCTTCTGGGGCTCCATAGCCCCTGTAGCTTCTTTCACATGGGGAATTACGGGCAAGACATGGGAGGGAGCGCTGGGCAACCAGCCCGGGGCTCGGCTGGGCACCCACGCCAGCCCCGGGAGAGCGGGGACACGGGGGGCGAGTGTCGCACGGACCTGGCAGAGGGCGGCGGGGCCGTGTCCCAGCACGCAGAGCCCAGCGAGCAGCAGGCGGAGGTGGCGGGCGAGCAGCGGGGCGCCCAGCGCGGGCAGCCGGGCCAGCTCGACCAGGGCGGCGGCGGCAGCGAGCAGGCGGGCCCCGCGGGGGCCGGGCGGCGGCGAGGGTGGCCCGGGACACGGCCCGAGCCCTGGCGGCAAGTGCGGCAGCAGCCCCAGCCCCACGGAGGCCCGCAGCGCCCGCTGTACCGCCCGCGTCTGCCCCGCGCTCAGCGTGTCGGCGGCGGGCGGAGGCGGCGCGCCAGGGGCTGCGGAGGCGGCAGGGGCGGCGGCGAGCACGGCCAGGCGCTCCTTGAGGCACAGCAGCAGTACCAGCAGTCCGCAGGCCGCCGCCCAGCCCGGCTCCGCGCCCGCCGCCCCAGCCGCCAGCGCGGGGTTGCGGGACAGCACGGCCGCCCGTAGGGAACTCAGCGAGGCCCAGCCCGCTGCCCGCGACAGCCGCTCCTCCAGCGCCGCCGCGTTCTTGCGCAGCGTCTCCGGGCACAGGGTGGGCTCCTGGGCAGCCTCGGCAGCGCTGTCCCGGTCACCGGGCGGCCGCAGCAGCAACTCCAGCGCCTCCACTACACGCCCTGGCTCCGGCTCCGGGTCTGCGCCGCCCGCCATGTTGGGGTCGCTGTCAGCGGGAGACGCCATCTTGGGGGTGAAGGGAAGGGGCGGGGCCAGGCTCGGCGCCATATTGGGAAGGTCGAGCGAGGGGCGGGGCCGCCCCGCCCGACGCCATCTTGGGGAGGTCGGGGAAAAGGTGGGGCCCATCCCAGTGCCTAAAGGGGCTCCAGGAGAGCTGGAGGGGGATTTTGGACAAGGGGGGGAGTGACAGAACAATGGGAATTCCTTCCTACTGACAGAGGGCAGGGTTGGATGGGATACTGAGAAGGAATTCTTGACTGTGAGGATGGTGAGGCCCTGGCACAGATTGCTCAGAGAAGCTGTGGTTGCCCCATCCGTGGCCATCACAGCCAGGTTGGACGGGGCTTGGAGCAACCTGATCTAGTGGAAGGTGTCCCTGCCCCTGGCAGGGGATTTGGAATATGATCTTTAAGGTCCCTCACAGCCTAAACTGTTTCATGACTAATTTCCCACCTGCCTTTTGGAGGGGGCCATGGCTACAACTGTGGGGGAGGTAAAGCCTTTTAGCACCAACAGTCTCACGCAGAGAGGTTTTCCTAAAAGAATTTATTATTTCAATTTTATATAAAAACAATACAATCAACACATTGCCAAGGCTGGTTTCCCAGCTCACATCAGACCCTTTTTTCATGATAAAAAATACAAACAACAGCTAAACACAAGGGTCAGGATTTCGGGAAAGCCCTTTGATTTCCGAAAGCACCTTTCATTGACTGCACACTAATTACACCTGGCATGATACAGGAGGAAATCAAGCCATAATCTGGGATACGGAAAAATAGAAATCTGCCTGTACATACTCCAGCAAATACAATTCCTTGCGAGGGCATATCTTTGGTCTGTGTCGATTGAGCACCTCACCCCACTGCTCCAGCGCTGGGTTCATGATTGGAGCACGGTGGGAGAGCGGCTGTGCGGGGCTGGGAGCACGAGGTATTTTGAAGGCTGCCAGAGAAACCCTTTTTGTCCACAGAAAAGTGAGGGAGGAGCTGATCCTGGCCTCCTCAGCTGGGAGCACCTCAGCTCCAGGGTGGGAAATGGCCCAAATTGAGCCAAGGGGGCCAGGAAACACACAGACTCCCCAAAAACCCCGCCATCCTTGATGACACCGATCCTCCCTCAGCGAGGGGGACGCAGGTACTGGGTTGAGTGGGTGTTGGAGGGGGGTTTGGCCACCCCTGGGCAGAGACTGAAGTGAGTCCAGAGGGGTGAAATGAGGCAGGGGGCAGCTGGGAGTCCCTAATCTTCCTCCTCCCCACCGCCGTAGAGCTCAGCCAGCTTGCGGAAGCGGCCGCCCCAGTCATTGAGGTAGTCATAGTCCTGGTCTTCGTCGGAGTTGGTAGAGTTGAGGGAGCTGAGCGAGGTGGCCTCCGAGCCACTGCCCTCATAGTCGAACACCAGCAGCGAGTCGTAGGGGGGAGCTGTGGGGTCCGTGTCGGCTGCCTTCAGGTTCTGGGGGGGAGTGGAGGGGTCAGTGCCTGTCCACTCTGCACTGGAGGCACCCCAATGGTGCTGGGATGGATGGGGGTGTCACCTCCTGGACTCTCTCGTTCAGGACTCACCTCATCGATGAAGTTCCCGATCTCATCAGGGTTGGCAGGCCGGGGCCGGTACTGGGGGGCAGCCATCAGTGGGGGGGCCACATCATTGCGGATCACCTCAGGACGGGCATCCAACCCGCGGTGCAGTTGGCTCAGGTCATAGTCCTGGGGGGAAACAAGGAGACAAGGCTCAAGGGACAACCACAGACACCGCCACTTGGACCCAGCAGGCAGGGGCTGGTAGGCACAGCCATCCCACCTGGTCCTCCTCGCCGCCACCCTCCTCGTCATAGTGGTAGACATTGTCCCTCATATCATCCTCGGGAGGCAGCAGTGGCTCCTTCACCACCTTTCTCCTCCTCGCAAAAAGCAGCAGCAGCAGCAGCAGGACTGTGGGCAGAGGGACAGGGTGTCAGGGCAGCGGGTTACAGGCAGCCCTGTCCCTGTCCTGTCCGTCCCCCTCCCATGGTACTCACTGAGCAGCGCCAGGATGCCCCCGAGGATGCCCAGGATGGCGGGGACGCCCATGCCCCCGGAGACATATGCTCGGCGCTCGCAGTTTTTGGCTGGCCCTTCACAGCTGCAGACCTGCGCTTTGACCGGCGTGATCTGATCCTTGCCCTGGGCATCCAGCAGCTTCAGGAAGACGCTGTACTCCCCTGGCTCCAGCTCCTTCCTCATATTCAGCTTCACCAGGTCTTGGTGAATCATGGAATTGTTTTGGTTGGAAAATGCCTCCACAAGATTATTGAGTACAACTGTTCCCCCAGAACTGGCAAGGCCACCACTAACCAATGTCCCCAAGTACCACATCCACATGGCTTTTAGATCCCCCAGAGACTGGGATGATGGCTCCATTACTGCCCTGGGCAGCCTGTTCCAGTGCCTGACAACCCTTTCCATGAATGAATTTTCCCCAATATTCAACCTAAACCTCCCCTGGCACAATTTGGGGCTGCTCCCTCTTTCCTGGTACTTGTTCCCGGTGTTCAGAGCCTGACCTCCACCTGGCTCCACCCTCATGTCAGGTAGCTGGAGAGAGCAAGAAGGTTCCCCCTGAGGCCCTTTTCTCCAGGCTGAGCCCCCCCAGCTCCTTCAACCACTCCTGGTGCTCCAGACCCTCCCCCAGCTCTGGTTTAGGGACAACCTTGGCACCAGCACAGGACTTTGCCCTGTGGCACTTCCCCACCCTAATGCCCACTATGGGCCCTGCACTAGCACAGATGGCACCCACCTGGTGGAGTCACCTTGAGAGTCCAGTTGATGCTAGAGCCATGCACCAGCTCTGCCCTGAAGGGAAAGGTGTTGGGGGGGCAGATCCTTATCAACGATGTTCAGTATCTGCTCCTCAGGCTGCCGGTTGCAGATGTCAAAGTTCCGGGGCTCTGGCACAGGCCCATTGTCATTCACATCCTGGAGGAGGAGGAGCAGCGTCCCTGTGCCAGTCTCCTGTGGTGACCCTGTGGGGCTGAGAGTCAGTGAGGCACCCGGGGAGGAGCCCCAGGAGCCGCGGGGGGACAGAGGTGCAGCAGCCCCCTCCCCAGGGCACGGCCATCACCCTCACCGCTGTCCATGGCCAGGACGATGGCCTTGTAGGTGCTGTTGATGGCATGTGCTGACTCCCGGTCCAGTGGCTGTGCCGCTGTGACAATGCCAGTCTCAGAGTCGATGGCCAACCACCCTGCGGGGTCGCTGCCCATGCGGTACCTGGGGGGAGCCAGTGGTCAGCGGGGGGAGATGAAGGTGCACCCAGTACAGCACAACCCCTCAGGCACCCCAGCACAGCCCTCTGCCACTGTCACCCTTCACTCACGTGATTTTCTGCCTCTGGTCCTTGTCAGGGTCCTTGGCTGTGTAGGAGGTGACCTGGTAGCCCACTGGCACATCCTCCATCACTTCCACTTTCTTGACCAGGGGCACGAAGATGGGGGGCTCGTTCACATCCCTGACCACCACCAGGACAGTGGCCGTGGCAGGCCTCAGGGGCACGGAGAAGGGGACCTCATTCTCCACCACCACCACAAGGTGGTACTGCTGCTGGGTCTCGTAATCCAGGCCCTGGGGGAAGGAAAGGAGCTGGGTGGTGCCAGAAGGGAGGTGGCTGGTGCTGGGGTGGCCGCATGAGACTGGTACCCACCTTGGCGGTTTTCAGGAGCCCATCATTGGTTTTGGGGTCAGTGGTGATGTTGAAGTCACCCATCGGGTCCCCACTTTGGATGCGGTAGACGGCCTTCCAGGCCGGGGAGCCTGGCATGTCTTGGTCCGTCACGTGCAGCTGAGCCACCACCACCCCAGGGGCATTCTCATCCACTGACCCCTCGTACTGCAAGAGCGGGGACAGTGATGGTCACCCCTGTGGCCTCAAGCACCCTCTGTGGGGGCTTGTGCCACGATGCCCAGGGAGAGCAGCAGCTGTGGGGCTGGGGGGTACCATGTCAGGGTCGAAGACAGGAGGGTTGTCATTGGTGTCAGTGACTTTGATGATGGCAGTGGCAGTATTGGTCAGGCCGAAGCCCTCCTGGTCTGCAGCCTGGATGATCAGTGTGTAGTTGGGAGTGGTCTGCAAGGCAAAATCACACAGGTTAGGGCAGGGGTGGGGGCCAGGATGATCCCCTCCTCCGGGTATTCCCTGCCTGCACCTCCACCCTTCTTTGGCTTCACTGTTCCCTGTTGGCACAGATGCAGTCGATGTCCCCACTGCCCATCTGAGGGGCTGGCATGTGCCTGCTCCTGGGGCTTAGCAGGACTGGGAGTCCCTGTGATGGCACTGCACCCACTCCATGGCTCAGCAGTGCTGGGGGTCCATGCAGTGTCCTTAGCACAGCCCCTGATGGGCTCAGGGCTGCAGATACCCCCAGAGCTGGGGATGGTGACCCAAGGATGTCAAGTCCCTGAACTGGACGCACCCCAGGATTTCAACATCCCCAGTCTCCTCTTGGCATGTCCCTCTGCAGAGGTGCCCCAGGTTCCCCTGGGATATGGCGAGGGCACCCACCTCCCGGTCCAGCCCTGTGCCGATGACGCTGATGATGCCCTTCTCAGGGTTGATGGTGAACATCTGCTGCATGCCCTTGGGCTCCTCGCTGAGGATGGAGTAGCTGATAATGCCGTTGTTCACGTTGACCGCATCGTCTGCATCCGTGGCATTCACGGTCATCACGGATGTGCCTGGACATCGGGACAAGCCGGGGAGATTTTACTCATGGGACAGAATCCATGGGACACCCTGGAACTGACCCTGCTCAGGGTTCTGTGTACTCCCAGCTCAGAGTCCCCCACGCACCCGGCTTGGCATTCTCCTCAATGTAGCCAACAAAGACTTGCTGGGTAAAGACGGGCCGGTTGTCATTCTGGTCAGTGACAGTGATGATGATCTCCATGGGGTCCTCCACGGGCTGCCCATTGGCTGACACAGCATGGGAGTAGAGCTGCAAGAACACAGTCAGCCTGTGTGCAGCCCCCAGGACTGTCCCCCCCTACTGCAGGTCCCCACTCACTCACTATGTACTTATCCTTCTCCTCCCGGTCCAGAGGCTTCGTCACCTCCAGCCACCCTGTCTCCCGCTCGATGATGAAGACGCCCACAGGGATGGTGTCCGCTCCCTGCCCTGTGATGCTGTAGAAAACCCTGGTCTCCTTGTCCTTGTTGGATTTGATCTGGCAGTGAGATGAGAAGATGGGGTTGAGAAGGGTTCTGGTGCTCTCCCATTCCCCTGTCCCCTCGGGGCCACGTACCTGCACCAGCTTCTTGGGGAAGGGCCCCCGCTCGTTTTCGGGGCAGTTGATGGGGGGAATGACCCAGTCCCTCTTCTGCCACCGGAGGCTGTGTCTGTGCTCCGGGAAGGTCAGCACGTCAGGTGCTGTGTCCTGCAGGGAGAATGGCTCTGCTCAGTGCCAGCACCTTGCTGAGCCCTCTGCACCGGGGAGAGGGGCTGCAGTGACCTCAGCGAGTGGGTCTGTGCTTTACCTGCTGCATCTGGTTGTGGTGTCGGCGGTGCTGGTGCCACTGCCGGCGCAGAGTCACCTTGGCCGAGTGCCTCTTGCCCGCAGTGTCCCACGTGTGCACGGTGAAGGTGATCTCCCGCCGCCGGAGCTGCAGGGGCCGGGCTGCAGAAACGACGCCATCCCGGCTCACCTTGAAGCGCGTGTCGTCCGGAAGGAAAGCGGCCCAGTGCGGCTCTCCACAGTCCACAAAGCTCACTGGGGACAGGGCAGCGGGTGGGTAGGGTGTCCCCGGGACATGGGTACACACGGCGTGGCCACAGCTCAAGGGCCCAGGGGGGACTGTGGGGTCACAGGGGGCAGCAGGGATGCTCCACACACAGCCTGCCAGGATCCTGTCCTGGGCATGGCACGTGTTACATCCCTGCCCTGGCTTTGGTCCAGGACTGGGCACTGCATGACCAGTGGTGCCATAGGATCCCAGCCGGACAGTGACAATAGGGCAAGTGGCACTTGGCACAGCATGTCCCTGTCCCCAGCACCGTGTACGGCATGGCACCACACATGGCACATCCCCACCTATGGCATGTGGCACACCCCCATGCAGGTGTATACCCTGTGGCACAACATGTCTCCAGGTGTGGCATGTCACCACCACCATGCCTGAGGCAGAGGGTGCCACTGCTCTGGCTGCTTTTCTGATAAAACCAAGGGCACAGTTGCTCACCTATGCTGGCACCCAGTGCCCCAGCAGCCCAGGCACTGCAGGTGGGGTACAGTGACCTATGAGGGTCATGTGGCTGGGGACTGTGACCACACATCTGCAGCAGAGACAGCCCAGGATGTGTCATGCTGTGGGATTGGGACATCAACCTCTGAGCAAGAAGGTGCTACCCCCAGGGCACCTCTGGCATTTGGTGCACCCAGCCTGCCCAGGTACCCTCTGGGACCCCCAACCCCAGACACAGGGGGCACCTGCCACACGCCAGGGCAGGCAAGGTCCCAGTGTCACCGGCTTGGCACCACACTGGGTGTGGCACAAGCCAGGGCAGCAGGCAGCGGTGGTCAGCTGGCATCACATGAACTGGTGCCGCGCGGCCGCAGCTCCTGAACAAACACCCTTTGTCTGGAGAGGATTGTTAGAGCCAGCGGCTCCCACAGCCAGCGCGGCTGCCATCCCCTGGAGTGACCTGCCACGGGAAGGGGACGTGCCCAGGGTGGGTGGAAGGCACCAGTGGGGGTGACATCAGCCCACGTGCAGCTCAGGAATTCGGGGGTGGCTGTAGGATGGAGGGGGAGTGATCGCTGCCCCCCCTGCCCACCACAGTGCCCCTGCCCCAGCCCATGGGAACCTGCAGGCGTGATGCCAGCCCTGCTCAGCCCCACAGCAGGACCCCCGGCCAAAGCTGGGGGTGGGGGGAGCCGGTGGGGCCGGCTGGGCAGGAACGTGCCGGGACAGGCCGGGTGCTGCCGTAGTGGGGAACAGGAGGCACTCGGCACCCACGGGCACAGGCACAGTGCCTGGCTCTGGGCCCTGGCACAGTGTTGGGTGGATGCAGTAAGGGGCAGCATGAGGCCCCCAGCCCCACCACACTGGGTGCAATGAGTGCACAGTGCTCAGCCCCCACTGGATTAAACGAGTGCTGGGTGCTCAGTGCCTGCTCCCCCTTTCACGCTCCCCCCTCTCCTGCTCCCTCCCTTCCCACCTGGCCATGCACAACCTGTTTTTCCAGTTTGGCTGAAGGAGAGCAGTCCCCAGCCATCCTCAGCCCTCCCTTCCCTGAGGTTGGAAGCCCGGGGGCCTCTCTCCTCTCTGGGAATGATGGGGTGGGAGGAGAGGAGACCTCAGAGGGTCCCACAGTGGGATCCCTCCCCACTTTCCATCTGTTTCCCCCCGCTCCCCCACAGGGCGCTGGGACAACCAGACTCTGGCATGACCAGGCTGCCAAAAAGGGTGTGGACCTGAGATCCCACACAGGGGACCAGGGTAGCCCCCCAAAGCCACCCCATGTCCCATGGGGTCTTGACAGGGCTGAGCATGGGCAAAGCCAGGTGCCATCAACCCTGCAATGCCACCACTAGTGGTGCCAACACCCCAGCAGTGCCAGGGCGGGGGGGCTCACCCTGGGGTGAAAGTGCTGCGGGTGGCACGTCCCATGACTGACGTCACCCTAGTTTCGCTGTGACTTCAGACTCTCGAGGTTTCCTCAGGGCTGACGGGGACCATCCCAGCCCCCACCACGTCCCCACCACACCTGAGCCCCCAGACCCACGGAGCAGAGCCCTGGGGAGGCCGCAGCCCCCGCACAGGTGTTTCGCCGCCCCGGCGCCGCGTGGGGCCTGTCTGGACCTGTTGGAGGGAAAACACCGCGCTCAACTCATCAGGCTAATTACAGGCCGGCTCCTCAGCCTGGCTGAGGGCTTTGAGCTGCTGTGTAGCACGGCATGGCCTGACACCCACCAGGCTTGGCCACCCCATGGCTGGCATCGCTGTGGCACAGCCAGGAATCACTGGGTGACACATGGCCCCCACAGGCAGACGGCCATTTCCTTCCTCCCACACCCTGTCTGTGCCAGGAACTGAGAACTGAGAGTGCTGGTGCAAGAACATGGGATTTCCAGGAAGTCTCTGTGCCACAGGGCTGCCCCGTCACCCTGGTATCAGGCACAGCCCTGATGGACATCGGTTTCTGCACAGGCGACTGTTAATGATCAACCACAAAGCTAACAAATGCAATTCCTGGGGTGTGGGGCAGGGTTTGGCTCCTGGCTCACCCAGGCAAAGCCTTTCTGAAACCAAGGGTGTTTGGGAGCCCCTGGCACAGTGCTGGGTGCTCAGTACCCTTCAGCTCTGTGCCCACCTCAACCACCCTGGCACACCACCGTCAGCATGAACTGGTGCAGATGGCGACGGCCCAACTGCTGTGCAGGCCCAGTACCCACAGAGCTCCTTCTGGGGATCCCAAAGTGGCAGCAGGCCCCTAGTACTTGCTTCTCTGTGTGCACCTCTCCCCAGTGCCCCCACCACACTGGGACAGGGCTTTGGTGCCAGCACAGTGGGACACCAATGTCCCCAAAACCTGAGAAGCCCATCCCAGCGCCCGTCCCAGTGCCCATCCCCCTACCAAGAGCCACCCTGGGGGGCTGCACTGGGGGCCAAAGGGGAGTTTGCTCTGGTGAACCCCGGGTGCCAGGTGAGGCGTGGGGCAGGATGGGCTCCTATGCACCCACACCCCAATCTGCCGGCCTCAACAGGTCTCTGGCGCCTGAGTCAGCGCCGCCTACGCCGGCGCACCCCGGGGAGCGGCACCCACTGCCCCTGTGCTGCGATGCCGTCCCGTCCTGCAGGACCACCAGTGCCCATACTGGGACCACTGGTGGCCTCATTGCGACCCCACCTCTGTGTGTGGACACACCACCACAGCTCTGTCCCCAGTGTCACCTGCCACCACAGCAAGCCTGTCCCCACCACCATGGCACCGTCCCCACCACCATGGCACCATCCCCACCTTCATGGAACTGCCCCCATGGCACCATCCCCACTACCACAGCATTGTCCTCACGGAACTGGGCAGAGCATGTCCCCATGCTCACCCAAGAATCACTCAGGTGCAGAGCCACAGCTTCATGTCCCCCATTGCCCACTCCTGTCCAACACACCCACCCCATCCCTGCGGTCCTGTCCCGGTCCCCGCGGTCCCATCCTCATCCCCACGGTCCTGTCCACATTCCCACAGTCTCCCTGTCCCTCACAGCCACACATCCCCATGTCCTTACCTCGTCCCAGGGCCCGTCCTGCTGCCACGCTGTCCCGCGGCACGGTCAGGGCGAAGGTCTCGGCGGTGAAGCCAGGCTGGCATGGCGTTGCCCGCTGGCACAGCCGGTGCCCGCTCTGCCCAGAGTGAGACGTTAACATCGGGCAGGGTTCCAGGCAGGGTCACACTGCCCCGGGGAGGGTCTTGGCGGAGTCCCGGGCAGGGTCCTGCCGCCCCATCCCGTGGCTCACCTGGAGCAGGAGGAGAAGGAGGAGGCAGAGCGGGGCCGGGCAGCCCGCTCGCCGCCCCATGGCTGGTGCTGATGCCGGTGCCGGTGCTAGTGCCGGTGCCGTGCCGGTGGGTGCCGGAGGGATCAGGCGCTGCTGCTGCAGAGCCGCAGGTGCGTCGGGTCCCAACCGATCCCGATCCCGCCCCGCAGGTCCTGGTCCCCCCCGGGAACCGCCCCGTCCCGCCCCGATGGGAGGCGGTACCGTCCCGCCTGTACGCGGGAACCCGGTACTCCCAGGACCCTGGACCCTCGCGCCCCCGGGATCCCGATGCCCCCAACACCCTTCACGGTACTACCACTCACCAGTGCCGTGGTATTCCTGATACCCCTTCAGCCCCTGGTACCCGCAGTACCCCACCAGCCCCCAGTATCCCCAATACCCCTGATGCTCTGCATGACCTGGGTACCCCCGGACTCCCCACAACCCCAATACTCTCAGCACCTAGCCCAGGCTCTCCGTGGGTGCCCATCCAGGACTGTGGGAGCAGGGGCTGTCGGTGGGTGACAGGAGTCAGGAGCACCCCAGAGTGTCTCCACACCATGACCCTACAGGTCTCAGCTCTACAGGTGAGCAAACATTATACCCAGGGAACCTCAATGCTGCAAGGGCCTTTTGGGGTGCTGCAGCCCCCTGTCCTCTCCTTCACCTCTCTGGCCCCAGACACAGCATGTCCAGGGCTGACCCCACAGCACGGCTTCAGAGATGCCTGCTGCCACCAGCTGCCCCCACCCATGGCTCCCAGTGGCTGAGCCTGGAGCCAGTGGGAGAACCCCAGGGCTGAGGGTCCTGCTGGGGCTGGGGGCTGCCATGCCCACCCATGCCAGCACCCTTGGGCACCTTAGGGTGACAACCTGGGGGGTTGCCGGCCTCCAGCTGCCTTAGCACAGGGGGGATTGCCAGGGCAGGAGGGATTTGGCACCAGCAATGCCCTGGAGCACAGGGGGTGGGGTCAGCGTCCTACCCCTGCCCACCAGCACCCCATAGAGACAAAGACACCCTGGGGGGCAACAGGCAGTGCCCCTGCATAGGTGATGCTGCTGCTGTGCTGTGGGACCCACACTGGGGTGGGTAAGGGGGGACAGGGCTAGGGGGGTCACTGAGGGGCTGGGGTCAGCGCTGACCCCCAGGGCACAAAGTAACACAGAACCTGGAGTGTCTAAAAAAAACAAATCCTTTATTAAAACTGAGCCAGCTGCCGTCCCCTCATCTGCAGCATCACACGCTGTCATTCCATACCTTAAAAAATAGATAATAACCACAAAAACGCAGGCAAGGAGGTGAGGGGGCTGCGCTGGGGGGGGGAGGGCACGGTGGGGGGGGGGAATCCCCAAGGCACAAGCAGCAATAAGGCAGGGGGCAGCAGGGCAGGGGTCCCTAATCGTCCTCCTCCCCGCCACCATAGAGCTCAGCCAGCTTGCGGAAGCGGCTGCCCCAGTCGTTGAGGTAGTCATAGTCCTGGTCTTCATCGGAGTTGGAGGAGTTGAGGGAGCTGAGCGAGGTGGCCTCCGAGCCACTGCCCTCATAGTCAAACACCAGCAGCGAGTCGTAGGGGGGAGCTGTGGGGTCCGTGTCGGCCGCCTTCAGGTTCTAGGAGGGGCAGAGGAGTCAGAGCTTTTCACCCCTGAGCTGGTGTAGATGTGGGTATCACCCCCCTGGGCCCAAACTCCAGACTCACCTCCTCGATGAAGGTGCCAATGTCATCAGGGTCGGCAGGTCGGGGTCGGTACTGGGGGGCTGGCAGGAGGGTGGGGGCCACGTCATTGCGGATCACCTCGGGACGGGCGTCCAACCCCCGATGCAGCTGCCGCAGGTCATAGTCCTGGAGACACACACACACACAGAGAGTCAGGGTCAGGCTGCTCCCACTATCACTAGGCCCCCCAAATACCCCATACCCACCTGGTCCTCCTCGCCCCCACCCTCCTCCCCATAGTAGAAGATGTTGTCCCGCGTGTCATCCTCAGGCAGCAGCAGAGGCTCCTTCGTCACCTTCCTCCTCCTCACGAAGAGCAGCAGCAGCAGCAGGATGACTGGAGGGGAGCAGAGGTGTCAGCAGGGACGAGTGTCACCCACTGTGCCCAATGCTGGGGACATCCCCACAGCCCCAGGACTCCCGGGACTCCCACTCACGCAGCAGGGCCAGCAGCGCGCCCAGGGCTGCGAGGACGAAGGGCAGGGCGGTGACGGGCTGGGGTCTCTGGGGACAGCCTTGCGCTGGCCCCTCACAGGCACAGACCCGCGCGGTGACCACAGTCACCTGGGCCCTGCCCGGCCGGTCCAGCAGCCGCAGGTACACGCTGTAGGTGTCTGGCTCCAGTGCTGCCACCAGCCGCAGGGTCACTGTGTCACCTGTGGGAGACGGGGGGCTTGTGAGGGACTCATTGGGAGCACAAATGTGGCACAGCTGCCTCCATCAAGGACCCCCTACGTTACCTTTGGAGCCCTCATGTTACCTGTGTCACCCACCTCCACAGCCCAGCTGTCCCCCGAGCCGTGGGTGAGCTCGGCGCGGAAGGGGCCGGTGTTGGGGGGCAAGTCCCTGTCGGTGACAGTGAGGACCTGGGGCTCGGGGCTGCGCTGGCACACAGTGATGTCCCGTGGCTCGGCCTCGGGGCCGTTGTCGTTCACATCAAGCAGGGTGAGGAGCAGTGTCCCTGTGCCCGTGGCTGGTGGTGAGCCTGGAGGGGGGATGATGCTGCAGGGGGGACCCCAAAACCAGGACCCTCATGGGGACATGGGTGACTGAGCCGGGGTCAGTCAGACCCCAAATCAGGATTCTCACAGGGATGGGGATGCCTCAAGCAGGGGTGGGGACAGAAGAGAGTGATGCTGGAGGGAGGACCCCCAAAATCAGGATTCTCTCAGGAATGTGGATACCCCAAGCAGGGGTGGGGACAGAAGAGAGTGATGCTGGAGGGAGGACCCCCAAAATCAGGATTCTCTCAGGAATGTGGATACCCCAAGCAGGGGTGGGGACAGAGGGGAGCCCCAAAACCAAGATTCTCACGGGGACAGGGATACTCCAGGCAAGGGTAGGGACAGTGGAGAGCGATGCTGAAGGGGGAAGTCCCAAACCCAAGATCCTCATGGGGCCACAGATGCCCCAGGCAGGGGTGGGGCCAGGCAGCATTGCTCCATGTTGGAGGCTGGGATGTGTTTCCCAGCAATGGCAGCACGTGCTCCTCACGTGGGAGAGGGAACAAGGGCCCTTTCATGTCCCTCACCATCATCCACGGCCAGCAGCAAAGCCATGTAAGTGCTGTTCTTCGCGAAGGGGGACTCGCGGTCCAGGTGGTCCTGTGCTGTCACCAGGCCGTTGTCGGGGTGCACGGCCAGCCACCCCGCTGGGTCATGTCCCACCAGATACCTGGGAGGGCACAGGGGAGCTGGTGCCGTGGCAGGGGGCAGCGGAGACCCCCCATACCTCGACTCGGACCCTGTCCCCACTTACTTGATCCTCTGCCCCTGTGCCTTGTCGGGGTCCTGGGCTGTGCAGGAGGTGAGGGTCTGCCCCGGCGGCACATCCTCCGACACCGTGGCCAGCTGCACCAGCGGCACGAACACCGGTGCCTCATTGACATCCTCCACAGTGACCGTGACTGTGGCAGTGGCCATCGGCAACTTCACGACGAAGGGGACCTCATTGGCCACTGTCACGTGGAGCATGAACTGCTGCTTTGCTTCGTAGTCCAGACCCTGGGAGAGGGGGGGACATGGGCAGTGAGAGGGGGGCAGACAGGACCCCACTGTGGGTAGCAATGGGGTGACACAGTGGTGACGCAGACCTTGGCTGTGCGGAGGATGCCCTCATTGGTGACAGGGTCGGTGGCAATGGCAAAGGCACCCCCATCGTTGCCACGCAGGATGGAGTAGATGGCTCTCCACGCCGGCGTGCCAGGCTCATCCAGGTCGGTGACAGCCAGCCGGGCCACCTCCCGCCCAGCCACGTTCTCCGGCACAGCTGCTTCGTACTGCGGGTCAGGGCCATTGTCAGCACCATGGCCCAGAGGGCACTGGGGAGGGTCCCACCCGGGAGGGTCCCACCCGGTGGGGGGGCCCATGTTACCATTTTGGGGTCGAACTCAGGGACATTGTCATTGATGTCAGCGATCTCAATGACGGCCAGCGCCGTGGTGGTCAGTCCCTCGCCATCCAGGTCGGCTGCCTGCACTGTCAGTGTGTACTCCCGCACACGCTGCCAGGGATGGAGAGACAGACAGACACCCTGTCAGCCCCCTGCCTGGGGCTGGGACCCCCACCCTGCAGTGCCACAGAACACACCTCCCGGTCGAGGCCGCTGGCAATGACGCTGAGGGTGCCGGTGCCCCGGTTGACAGTGAACATTTGGGGATGGGGCTCCCGTGGCTCCTGGCTCAGGATGGAGTAGGCAATGACACCATTGTAGGTTTCCACTGCATCATCCGCATCCGTGGCTGTCACCTGCATCACGGAGGTGCCTGGGGACAGGGATGTCTTGGTGAGCAGGGTGTGGGGGGACGGTCCCAGGGCTGTCCCTGAGGGATGTGGCTGGCAGGATGCAGAGCTCCCCCAAGGCTCAGGGTCCTACCTGGCAGAGCTCCCTCCAGCACAGAGCCCCTGAACACCTCCTGCGTGAACTGGGGCTTGTTGTCGTTCTGGTCTGTCACGGTCACAATGATCTCCATCGGCTCCTCCACTGGCTTCCCATTCTCAGACACGGCGTGGGAGAAGAGCTATAGGGCAGGGGGGTGAGCAGGGGATCTGACATGGTACTCTGACACCCCCCAGTGCACTCCAGCAGGGACCTACGTGGTACTTGTCGATGTGCTCGCGGTCCAGCGGCTGCGTCACCTTCATCCAGCCTGACTCCTTCTCAATGGTGAAGATGCCCTCGGGGGGGGCATCCGCTCCCTGCCCTGTGATGCTGTAGAAGATCTTGGTGTCTCTGTCCCGGTTGGATTTGATCTGAGAGGACACACGGGGAGGGGGTCAGTACCCCCCCCCCATCACACCCGGCCCCAATGCAGCAGGGATGGACACCCCAGCACCCACCTCTGTGCCCAGAACTCCAGTTCAGATCGACCCCCTCTTACCTGAACCAATTTTTTGGGGAAGGGGCCCCTCTCGTTTTCAGGAACCTTGATGGGGGGGATCACCCAGTCCCTCTTCTGCCTCTTGAGAGCGGTGTGAGTCCCGGGGAGCTCCTGTGGGATGGCGATGAGTGAGGGCACAGCTGGCTAGGGGGGCAGGGGATGGGGAACACAACAGGGCAGGATTACCTGGGGGGAGCGCCTGCTCTGCAGGGAAACTGGAACAGGGTCCGGCTGGCCGGGGGCATCCCAGGGGGAATCAGCATCTGGGAGGGGTATGGCAAGTGCTCTGCCCACCCTCGGCAGTTGCATGGGGCCCGTGTCCTTCTGCACCCCAACATCGCACTCCTCGGTCCCGCACGGTCCCGTGCAGCCTCCGGAGCTCCCTGTGAGGGTGGAGGGTCAGGAGGCTGGGAGGGGACCTGTCCCCCAGCATGCCCAGGCAGCAACCACCAGCTCCAGGATCCGCAATCCCCCAGAGTCCCGAGGCAGAATGGGGCAGGGGACAGTGGGAGTGGGGCAGGGGACAGTGGAAGCAGGGTAAGGGACACCGGGAGCCATACGGGAGGGCAGTGGAAGTTTCGGTGGAAGTTTCGGCTTTGTTTCACAGATGATGGGAAATTCCTGGGCGGGCAGAGCCCTGCCCCAGCCCCCTCCCAGTGGTGTGTCACCCCCCTAGGGGCTCCCAACCCCCCGTGGCCAGGACACTGGGCTCTGAATCTCCCTCCCCCCCTCCCACGCTGCATCCCCCGTGCTGGACATGGCCCTGACTCCGCACCCCCCGGGGCCAGGATTAGGGGATTAGCGGAGCTGAGCCAGCTCTGGGCGGCCGAGCGGCCCGGGGGGGTCGGGGAGCGGGACTGGGGGGGCTGCGGGAAGCATGGAATGAGGCAGGGAGAGCTGTGCTCCACGGCTGCCCCACACCGGGCAGGCAGCGAGCCCGGGGACGCAGCGGCCGAGCCCCGAAGGCAGTGCCAGGGCCCCTCCCAGCCGCGATGGACGCGGTAAGGGGGGCTGGAGGGACCTCGCTCACCCTGGGAAACAGGTCTGGGGAACAAGATGCCCGGGGAAGCCCCCAGCCCCGGCCGTGGGGAGCCCTCAGTCCCCGTCTGTGCCACACGTCACTTTTCCCCACCGAAGGGCCGGGCGGCACAGGGGGTAACCCCACCGTGCCCCCGGGGTCCCTCCTTGCAGAGCCCACATGGCACCGTGCCCGCTGGATGCCGAGGCGGAGCCGTACGGTCGGTGCCTGGGCCATGTGCTGCCCACGGAGGGGGGTCGCAGTGGCATGGCTAGAACCCAGCCCCTGCCCACGGCGGGGGCCTGGCAGTGCCCAGCTCCATTCCTGGCAGGCTCAGTCGATGGAAGTGAGATGAGAAGCGGGATGTGGTAGCGGAGGTCGAGGCCTCTCCCTGGCACTTACCGCCAAGAAGAGCTTTTAGTGCCCCCCCGGCCATTAGCCGAGCACTGGCTCCGGCCGCGTTCCCGGGCAGCCCCAATCCCCTAGGAGCCTCCAAGCGAAGAGGGCAACAGGCCCAGGCCAAGCGCCAGCACCGGGCCAGGAGTTGGCAGCGAGACCCTGCCCAGCTTCGGCCCCTACCCAGCCCTGAGTCCCCGTGCCAGCTCGGGCCCCTGCCCGGCCTCGGGCCAGCTGGACCCCGCACGCCATGGCCGGAGAAGGGTGGCCGCGAGGCCATCCCGATGGCCAGCGCAGAGCTGGGCACCCACCCTGCAGAGACCCAGCCCTGCTGCCGGCGGGCGCCCCAGGGCTGGGCCAGAGGCGCCGGCATCGCAGCCACCAGCCCCGTGGGGCCAGACAGGCATCACCAGTCCCACAGGGCATCGCCAGCCCCACAGCCCGAGGAGAGGGGCACTGCCCTACAGCGAGCCCCACGGCCAGGGGGGCCACAGCCCTAGAGCGCAGGAGCCCAGCCGGCCCCATGGCGGAGTCCCACACCCGGGGACCCCGTCAGTCCCTCACCGGTTTCTCCCACCAATCCCACACCCGGGGCAGTGCGAGGTCCCCGAGAAAAGCAGCGGCCCCACGGCCCGATCCCGGCAGCAAGGGGGGCCCTGCCGCCCCCACAGCGCCCGTAGCCCCGATCCCGGCCCCGATCGGGGCCCCAGCCCGTCCTCGGGTAGCCCCGGGGGTCCCGGTGCCGCCGCGCCCCGACGGTGCGAGTTACCTGGTGTGGGGAATAGCTCGCGGCGCAGCCCCGGGGGGGCGCACGGCGGGGCCGGGGAGGGGGCGGCTGCCGGCAAGAGCGGGGGGAGGAGGAAAAGGATGAAGATGGAGAGCGGGCAGAGCCCGGAGCGCGGCCCCCGCATGGCCCGTCCGCTGCTTCTGCCGCCGCCGCCGCTCCGGCCGCCGCCCGCCGCGTCCCGCCCCGTCCCGCCCAGGTGAGGCGGTGGCCGCGCAGGTACCGCCCCGCCCCGCCTCGGAGACCGGCCCCAGCACCCTCCGGGCATCCCCCGGCAATCCCCGGGACCCCTCCATTATTCCTGGGACCCTCCGGGTACGCAATCCCCGTTACACGCCGGTACCTCTCTGGAAACCTCTGGCAACCCCTGATACCACATGGCACTCCCCGTTATCACCCGGGCACCCTTCCGGCAACCTCCGGTACCACCCGGGCATCGCCGGTACCCCCTGGAAGTCCCTGGCAATCCCCGGTACCCTCCTTTATCTCGGGCACCCCCCGATACCCCTCGGGCACTGGCTGGTACTCCCCTGAGACCCCCTGGCAACCTTCGGTACCACCCAGACACCCTCAGCATCTCCCGGGAACCCTCGGGCACCACTTCGTAGCCTCTTGGAAGCTCTCGGCAACCCTGGACAATCTGCGATACCCCCCTGCCCCGTTAACCCCCGGTCACCCGCCGTTACCCCTTGGGGACACCCCCGGCACCTCTGGGGCACCCATCGGTTTCCCCCTGGAAACCCCCGGTAGACCCAAACAACCCTCAGGCACTGCCCGGTACCTGTCAAGCAACCCCATGGCTCTTCATGCTACCCCCCGGTGCCCCCAGCCCCTCACCGCTGCTTCCCCCAGCCCCTCTGCACGGCCCCGTGGACACGCCCGGGCATCCTGGTATCTCTGAGTACCTTCCTGTTACCACCGTGCATCCCTCCAGGTGGCCCCATGAACCCCGGAACCCTTGACCTCACCCCACCACTCCCCGCAGTAACACCCCCCCCCCCCCCCCCCCCCCCCCCCCTGCCATCTCCTGCTAATCCCGGTGCCTCCTCCCCCTCTGCTGCCTATGGCTGCACAGGACCCCCAGGCCTGCACTGGGACCCCCGGGGGGGACCATGTCTGCACCCCAACCCTGCTAGAGTGGGGGGGGTCCTGTGGCCCCCGAGGGACAGTGCCCTGGGGGGTTCCTGGGCTCCTTTATCCCCCCCAGCCTGGAGCAGCATCTCATGCACTGGGCCCCCATATAAGGCTCCCACCCCCCCACCGGGGCTGCCAGCACTGGAAAGCCAGCACTGCTTTCCTGGCAGGAGGCGGCCAAGGTCACTGACGCCACAGGGAAGGTCCCCAGCTGGCACCCGGGGGAGCAGCCAGTGCAGCTGCAGCCATGTCATGCTGTACCTTCACCCTCCTCCTCCTCCTCTTCCTCCTGGTGGGACCATCCCAATGGGGCCAGGGGCACTATACGGCCACCCCAGAGCCCTGGAGCAGAGCCATGTTCCTCCATAGTCCTGCAGCCTCACTCTCCATCCCGCGGGACAAGCTGACCTTCCCGGAGCACAGACACGGCCTCCAGCGGCAGAAGAGGGACTGGGTCATTCCCCCCATCAACTGCCCCGAGAATGACCCGGGGCCCTTCCCCAAGAAGCTGGTGCAGGTACATGGCCCCGAGGGGACACGGCATGGGAATGAGAGGCCCTGGAGCACCAGGACCCCTCTCACCCTTCTTTTCATGCCTCACCACCAGATCAAATCCAACAAGGACAAGGAGACCAAGGTTTTCTACAGCATCACAGGACAAGGAGTGGACACTATCCCTATGGGCATCTTCATCATCGAACCGGAGACAGGGTGGCTGGAGGTGACAAAGCCTCTGGACCGGGAGGAGAAGGATAAGTACAGAGTGAGTGGGACCTGGAGCAGGGGGGGACGGTCCTGAGGGCTGCACACAGGCTGACTGTGTTCTTACAGCTCTATGCCCATGCTGTGTCAGCCAACGGGCAGCCCGTGGAGGACCCCATGGAGATCATCATCACCATCACTGACCGAAACGACAACCCGCCCATCTTCTCCCAGGCAGCTTTCCATGGCTCTGTGCCAGAGGGAGCTGAGCCAGGTGGGACCACCGTCACTGCCTGAGAGGCAGTGCTGGGGGGATGTGGGGACAGCTCACCAATAACCACCTACTCCAGGCACGCCAGTGCTGCGGGTGCTGGCCACTGATGCAGATGATGCTGTGAGCTCCAACAATGGAGTCGTGGTCTATTCCATCCTGAGCCAGGCACCGGAGCAGCCTCAGCCCCGCATGTTCACCATAGACAGCAGCTCCGGGCTGATCTCTGTGGCCATGCCGGGGCTAGTGGCAGAGGTGAGTCCTGGGCTCAGCCCCCACCCAGTGCCCACTCCCAGTTCAGGTGTGACGCAGCCTCTCACTGCAGGCAGTCCCTGAATATACGCTGGAGATCCAGGCAGCCGACATGGGGGGACACGGGCTGCAAGCCACCACCACCGCCTGCATCACAGTGCAGGTGAGACACTGAGCCCCCCTGCTGCCCACCCAGCACAGATGGGGAGGGTGAGGCTGTGGTGAAGCCGGTGCTGGCTCTCAGCAGCCCCACACACCCGGCTGCCGCACCACCAACGCGCTCCAGGTGCTTTCCATGGTGGGAGGTGAGGCTGGAATGGCAGCTCCACGGCAGCTTCTCCTGGCCTGGCGCCCCATCTTCCCGCCGGGCTCTGGGCCACCAGCCCCAGGGCTGCAGCACTGCTGGAGAGTGGGTGCCAGTGGGGCTCCTGGGCACAGCTCCCAGTGGGAAGGCGCCCGTGCCGGCTCAGCCCAGTCAGGGAGGAGCACCCAGAGCTGCGGGAGCCTTGTGCCAGGATAGCGGCATCCAGCCACGCCAGCTCTGTGGGGAGAGGCTGTGGCGCCAGGAAGGGCGGCCAGGGCCAGGGATGGCGTTTTGTGCAGTGTCACCAGCCACAGGCCCCTGGCTGAGCGGGACCGAGGACAGCCAGGTAAGCTCGCCGGGGTGCCTCTCCGTGTCAGCCGGTGCCGGTGTCGGGCTGGCAGTAGGAGCTGGTCCGGCTCCAGGGAGGCTGCCTGACCGTGCTGGCTGCTGGTACGCAGCCCTGAGTTGTAGTCCCACCCCAGCCTGGGAGCTCCAGCAGAGGAAGGGGCCCAGCTGCCCCAACTGCTCTGACCTTGACCCCAGACAGCTCCAGAGAGCTGTCTGGGGGTCAATGTCCACCCGCACGTGACACTGTGGGCAGGGATGGGGCTGCTGGGACGGGGCTACTTCCTTGTTGGGTCCAGGCTGGCTGCTGCTGCCATACTTTGGCCCACCAGGACAGGCAGTGAGCAGGGAGCGTGGTGCTGCTGCAGGAACAGAGCCCTGCATTGCAGCAGGAACCAACCAGCACCCACACTATGGTGGTTGCAGTGCCTGGGGCTGAGCCCTGTGGCATGGGAAGGAGGTGGGGGCCCATATCCCAGCTGTGGGGCACAGCAGGGTGTAGGGGCTGGGCTATGGCACAGCCAAGGGGGAGGCACACAGTGCTGCCAGGACAGGTCCCAGGCCCCCTTCCCCCTCTGCTGCAGGCTGACAGCATGTCCGATGCGGGGAATGGCTCCCTGACCACCCACGTGCTGAACACAGTCACAGGGCTGCCGGCGGCTGGCCTTGTCATCCGCCTGGACCAGCTGGTGGAGCCAGGGCCACAGTGGAGGGAGCTGGCACAAAGGTAGGAGAGCTGGTGACACTGGAATGGGACAGGAATGCTGCTGCCGGTCCCCATGAGCTTGTTTGAAGGCTCCTGGCACAACCGGCTGCCCAGCCTTTGCCTGGGGGCTGCCGGCAGCAGGGCCAGTGCTCAGGGGTATGATCAGGGCAGGTTCTGGGGATACAGCAGGGCTGGCTCGATCTGGTTTCAGGCACACGGATACGGATGGGCGCTGCCGGCCCCTCCTGGCAGCGGGACAGGCCAAGGCCGGCACCTACAAGCTGTGCTTTGAGACAGCACCGTATTGGCAGGGGCTGGGGCACACCAGCTTCTACCCCTACGTGGAGGTATGGAGTGTGGGGAGCCTGGGGCAGGTCTGGGGCCACAGTCGGGCTTGGGGGGGCTGTAACCCCCTGGGCCTGGCTCTGGGAGGGGGATCCCCACCACTGACTCCTTGCTCTCCCTCAGGTCATCTTCACCATTACTGATCCAGCACAGAAGCTTCATGTCCCACTGCTGATCAGCCCCTACTCCTACACAACATACCGGGGCAGTTAGGAGGGCACGGCCTCCCCTCAGGGATGCAGGAACGATGGCACTAATGCCATTAAAGGCTCCAAACACCACCATGTGTCTCAAAAAATCACCTTCTGGTTGGGGAGTGAAGGAGGGAACCCCAGGGGCAGCCTGGTGTGGTTGGTGGGATGCCCAGAACCCTCTAGCTGCATCATGGTCCCCCTGGAGAGAAGAAGGTCCCAAAGATGTTCACTGGGGTCTGTTTAATGGCACAGAGCAGGAACAGGGCACAGCCCCACTTCCAGTCTGCCAGTGGGACCCTCAGTGCTGGCCCGTGTCAGGTGGGCACCGAAACAAGTCCGGCGGGGCCCTGCCCTAGCTCCTGCCCCGGCAGGGGGAAGGCCAGCGGCTGGAAGCCCAGGTTGTCCAGGGGGATGCCGAAGGCCGTCAGCTTCGCCTCAAAGGTCTGCAGCATGTCATTGTGTGCCTGTAAGGGGAGGGTCCCCGTCAGCCCTCCACAACCCAGGGCAGGGGCTTCCTGTACCCCCTGGTCCTATTTCCATCCCCCATACCACAGCCATGGAATCACAGAGTCGTTTGGGTTGGAAAAGGCCTCTAAGTCCAACCATTCCCCCGGCACTGCCAAGGCCACCACTAACCCACAAGCCCAAGTGCCACATCCACACAGCTTTTAAATCCCTCCAGGATTCCTTCCCAACCTCACCTTGCAGACTCGGGCCAGCTGGAGCTGCAGGTCCTGGATGGTGTCATTCTTGGAGTGGAGCACATCCTGTGGAAGGAGACAGGGTGTGAGGCCATGCTGCCCAGCCCCAGGGACATGGTGGCCATGCTCCAGGCGGGAGCAGTGTGGCACAGCACATGGAGGAGCTGCAGCGCCAGCAGAACATCCAGCAGCACGGCCTGGCAGG